TTGGTCTGGTAATAACTCCAGTTTTGTTGGTTTTGAAATTTTGAGCTCATATGCTGCAGACATGGAAGTTTCACATTTTTAATCTTACTGAGAATCTTCACTTTTCATTTATGTAATTTCTACTTTTACAGGAGTTTAATACTTCTGTTCATTATGCTGATGATAAAGCTAATAAGTCAGTCCGCGTTAGATGCAATTAAAGATTGGATTTCAGACATTCTAAGTGACACTTTTGTCAATCCTCTTTGTAGAAGATTACAAGATATTATTGTGCATGGGTTCAAACGAAACAGAGATAGAGACACGGACAGAGACAGAGACGGAGACGGAGACAGAGCATAAGACCACATGTTTGTCTTTTTTTGTAATGTTTCTTTTTTCATTTTTTGTTTTTGGTTGAGTGATACCGTTTGATCCTTTTAGAAGTGTTGAGTGTCATTGTGGAGAAATGGCACAATGATGATGCTGTAGGAACCTGATTGTATTATTGAGTTGGGCCGGTCTGTTGGTCTGATGGCTTGGTTGTTGGATAATTCTTGTTGGGCTGGATTGTTATTATTTGATTGCTTGGTGGCTTCTGTTTTCATCCGGTTATAAGTGTGTTTTACCTTTATGCATTTTTACTAAATGGTTGGATGGATGAGATGTTGCCAAGTGTCGCCCCACAAACCGTTGGGTTGGGTGGCCTTCTGGAGACTTTTCATATACTAGGGTTTGAGTTTTGAGTGTGGCTGTTCATTCTCTCATACTCTCTAGAACTCTCTGTGTGCTCTGTACTCTCTCATCTTCTCTGTTCAGCACTCTGAAAATTAGAAGCCTTATTTTAGATCTATAATCTATATAGTCTCTTGTATAGATCTTCAGTGATTTGTAAAGGGCTATTGTTGTATCCTTGAGTGGATTGCTGTTTCGATCAGTTTGAGGGTTTTTCCTTTATTGATGTAATCTTGGGTGATTTAGTCTGAGGAACAATTTCTTGATTCCGGTTAATATAATAATTTCTTTCGGTTGGCGGAAGCTCAAAAGGGGATTGGGAACTCTAGTTCTGAACCTCTTGCCTTAGGGCGAAAAATGTCATGTTCTTTACTTGTTTTTCTTGTTGATTTATACACTTTTATTTCTATTTTGTTGATTGAAAGTGGATGATTATTTGAACTTCATCGTTACAGTGGTATCAGAGCGTTCATACGGTGGTTCTTGGTTTCGATCTGTGCAGATCTTAAAGCTTGACTCCTGATTCAATTTGTTCATTTTATTTGCTGAAACCCTAGTAAAGGGATTTGGTGAGTTCGTTCCAGTTTTGCGCTTGATGTACAAATTTTTGCTGATACTTTAAAGTTTTTTTGCAAAACGTTTTTTTTAAATTTGGGTCTGCGACTTTTCTTGGCAATTCCTTTGTCCAGAAACCCTAAGAGTTGTCTGGAATCTAAGGGTTGTCTTGATTTCGAGTCAAGGGCCTTGATATAAAATTTATGCATGTGTTCTTTAATTTTGTATATTGCAAACTGTGAGAATTTGTACTTGTTCTTGTGAGTTAAGACGTACTTTGTGACTGTCTTACCTGGAATTAACTCTATGAAATTCTGAACATTGTTTATACAACTCTACAGTCTTTGTATAATTCAATTCTATCTCTTGAGTGTTGATATCTGGATTATTACTTATTGTATATACTTCTGGTGTGCTCTACCTGATCTGCATACATTAATTCTTCATTCAAATTTCTTGATTATGCCTTCTTCAAAATTTGAACCGAAAGTTTTTAATGGTAAAAGAGACTTTAGTTTTTGGCGTCAGAAAATGAAAACTCTTTTACTTC